ATGGAAACTGTGGAATTGGTGTACATATTGTTGTGCATAATCTCAGCAACAAATAAATTTTAGAAAAAAAAATAGAAAATAAAAATCTATGGAGCACAGTTCTACTCTGACACACATAGGGACACCATGAGTTAGAGTCAACTTTCTGTTGATTGGTGCTTGTTTTGTTTTGCTTTAGGACGTGGGTGGGAATGGGGAGTAACTGCTAACAGGCGTGAGATTTCATCTGGGGATGATGGAAATGTTCTCATTTTGGTGACTGGTGCCAAAGTATAAATTTATGAAAAATCATTGACTTGTACACTTAGTATAAGTGTCAGCGATGGCCATAGTCTATCTCAATAAAAGTTGTTTCTAAAAACACTAACAAAAGAAAACGAAAAGATGGAGGACATGCCTGGTCTATCTGCATTGTCTTTGGGAACTCTAGATAGCCCCATGCTTTCCATACCCACAAAGCATTGTGCTGCTCATGGGTAGGCAATAGATGAAATCCCATCCCCATAAAAATTTAAACCAATGGTTGTTGAGTCGATTCCAACTCATAACAACCCTACAGGAAAGAACACAACTGTGCCATAGAGGTTCCAAGGCTGTAAACCTTTGCAGAAACAGACTGCGACATCTTTCACCTATGGAGATGTTGGTGGGTTCAAACTACTAACCTTTTGGTTAACAACTAAGAGATTTAACCACTACAACAACAGTTGTTGTTTTTGCTAAGTGCCGTCAAGTCAATTCTGAGCCTTAGCGACCATGTATAGGGTTTCTAAGGAGTGGCTGGTGAGCTTGAACCACTGACTTTGTGGTTCAAACCAACTTTGCAGTCCAGCACATTAATCCATAGCACCACACCAGGACTCCACATCACTGGTGGTGGTGGTTGTGTGCCATGAAGTTGTTTTTGACTCATAGCGACCCTGTGTAGGGTTTCCGAGGCTGTACATCTTTATGTGAGCAGAAAGCCTTATCTTTCTCTGGCAGAATGGCTGGTAGTTTCAAACTGCTGACCTTGAGATTAGCAGCCCGACTAGTAACCACTATACTACCAGAGGTCCATTTGCAACATACCACTCTAAGGATTTAATTAAGATGTGACTGAAAAATTTTTTTAAGTTTCCCTTGTAAGTCTATTCAGATTTGTAATGTTATCAATTTAAACAAATTCTTCCATGCTTAATAGGAAGACTAGGGTTCCTTATAGTAGATGTTAGACAAAGAAAACTGTTTAGGAAGTAAAGTGAATAACTTTAAAAAGGGAAGTCGTATAAGTTGACATTTCACATGAACCAGAAAAATAAATGCCCAGGCTTCGTCTTGACTTTGAGTTGGCTATAGTCTAGGGTTTATGGATGGGTCACACATTGCATGACAACAGGAAGAAGGCCCTATCTCAGTACATTCACTGATAACAAGATCTCATTTGGGGTACATAAACATCATTGCAGTTTACAAGTAACACAAAGAATTAGAAAAGTTAGTTGACAAATCTGTTTTGTGGTCGATTCCATAAGACAATAACCAAATGCAGTTGAACTTTGGAATTCGAAACATGCAAATGCATTCTCCGGTGGCAGACAGGTACGCAGTATGGGATTCTTCCATCAAATGCTCTTAGATGCCATCAGTAAAAAGAATGAAGTCAGTTGAAGTTGCAGATATTAGTGGGGCTTTTTCTTTCATATGTGCCTAAAGGAAGTTGTTGTTGTTAGGTGCCATCGAGTTGATACTGACCCATAGCGACCCTATGCACAACAGAAGGAAACACTAC